CTTTAACTTAAGTAAGACACACTTTTCAAGTTTTGTGATGCAAGAATATATTGCAGTTTGGTAACCAATAGCTACTGTAACTGCCAATGCTGATCCTGACTTTGACTATATACCATAGACTATTGTACAAATGGTAACAAACCAGATAAGCTTCAGGTGTTTAGTGTCACTGGATATACTGTATGCTAGTTTTTGCAAATCTTGCATTTCTAAGATTTTATGGAAGTAGTTTTTATGAATAACTTGAAGACTGCACCAAGTGGCAATGGAGATGCAGAATTTAATGGTAGAAAATTTTTGCGACAGAGCAAGAAATGCAAAATTTGCAGAAATATTTCACTCAAAAATAAACCAATATATGGTATATGTGTGGCTGTTAGTTGATTAGAGGCATATTGGTTTATCCACCACTTCAATTTATCCAGTGATTCTCAACATCTGTACTTTATCTATTTACTGGTGAAGAAAAAATTCGGTGAATTTAGTGCAGTGATGAACATTCAGTCACCAAAATTTTACCCTAAAAAATTGCATCAGCAGTGGGGTAGTGGGTGGGGCTTATTGAATATTCATTGTATCAATGTACATGACAATATTCAAAAATAAGAGTAGAAACATTGTGTGCATGTAAAGAAGTGCATCCAATATTTTGGAGAACTAATAAAATACTAAAACCACTGCATATATTAGTAAGTAAATCCTTCCAAACTACTATTGCTATTCATTATTGTTGTTAGTCGTGTTTTGATAGAAAGTCACAAACTGTTTTCACTTCTTCTCCAGTGATACTATACTGAGCTCTTGCTTGTATCTCTGTACCACTGAAATCAATAAACACGTCTATATCTCTCTCATCTCTTGGTACATTATCAGGATTAGGAACATCAAGTATTAGCTGGCCAATCTCACGTACTTTTAGTTTACCTTTTTTATCTACTACATACTGGACTCCATCAACTGAGGTGCAGTATACAGAAATACTAACTTGAGTGTAGCTTTGAGAACGAGGTATTAGTGTAGTTTTATATTCTTCATCCTTTATCTCTTCTCCTTTGAGTACAAATACATCAAAGACATTGTTACAACGTTGGTCACCTTCTTCATTTACAGACTTGTAGTGTTCATCATGTATTGATGGGTCAAATGCAAGCCCACATCCTATTCCACAGGTAGCATCAGCAACACGTGATTGGATTATGTTAGGATCCTTCCTCCATATTACTGCTCCTGATACAACAGCAAGATCTGGTTGTACAGGACACGCTATATTATCATAAAGCATGCCACAATGCTCAGAAATAGCTTCTTCTATCTTTTGACTAACAAACCTACACCCTCCAAACCCTCCTACCAGATAAACTGTATCGATTCCATTTTTTAACTCATCAAATGCTCCCCTCACACACTTTATAATCTTATCAACTGTGGATTTGAATACCTTCTCTTCTAACTGACTGTAGTTTATTTCTAACGAACCATCTCCAGGATCATAGTGCATGTTCATCTTCCTTACTTCACCTAGTTTATCATTACCATAGAATCCTACAAAAGCTGGAGGTAAGGTTAGTACCATTTCAGTAGTACCCTCAGTTGTGTCACCAAATGTTTTTTTCTGTTCTTCAAACTCTCCATAGAAAAATTTATTTAGACCAACTTTAGCACGAGTTGGCTCTGAAGATAAGAAAGACTGGAAATCTTTATCTTTTAATATTTCTTGTAATAACTCTGACAGTGCTTCATTGACAGTAGTACCTCCCCAGGTGTTCCCCATTGGTGGTAGTACTACACTAATTCTCCCATTACTCTTATCATGTACAGTAATATCAACTGTACCTCCTCCTATATCAACTACCATATATCTTTCTGGAGGTGTTCCTGATACTTCTGACTGATGCTGTGCAGCTATAGCAGCTACTTCTGGTTCTAGAGCTAATGATAGCTTCTCAGGATTAACCTCCTCTGGACGTGGTAAAGGAGAACCAACTGGAGTGAATCTTGTTATACCAGGAGCATCAGAAGTGAGACCAGCCTATCATATTAACATAATGAAATACAAAGCATGTATTAGGTTACCATATAAGCAGCTTCTCTCATCATTCTTCTTGCTCTTGCTTTCCATATAGCAGGAACAGTAATGACCCAATCAAAATCACTTGACTTGTAGTTTCTCTTCAGTTGATCAGTGAGTAGCTTCTCTTTGAGGTGTGTTAGTATAAAAGCTATAACTTCAATGAGATAATAAGAACCACCAGTGAATGAAGGGACTTGAGTATTACGATCCAATGACTAATAATTACAAAAATTGATAGAAGTACATTTACTGCTAAATCTTTCCCAACTCACTGTATCTCTCTCCAGTAAGGTCTTTATTCGCTCAAAATAAATGACATTCTGAGTTTCTTTTTTTGTGCTGTAAATGCTCTGTGCTTTGTACCCAACTCCAATTACTTTACATTGTTCCTGGTCCTTCAGTATTAGTATAGCATTAGGTACCCTCTCATAAGTACTGTGTAGTGGTACTAGTTTGATCTGTCCATCAGTTGGAGTGGTGTATGCTACTGATAGTGATGAGGTACCAAAGTCAATAGCTGCTATACAACTGCTCCCTTGTAGTACTGGAGTGACTCTATCTATCTTGTCAGCTCTTGCTAGTGGTGACAAAGCCATGATCAGTATAGGAGAGAAGTAACCTGTAGCTATAGCTACTGTTGAGTGGACCACACACCTACACTGTATACAGTGACTGCTTTGAAGTTACATGTATGTTTGTCAGTGGTGTGATTCTATAAGTAGATTCATTTAAAGTGACATCAAATAATAATGCCATTCATTAGCAGTACTGACATACTTCACTTTCTTTATCAATAATCATTGATTGACACTTCCTCTTGTTAAGAATATGATTGTAGTTGTTGCATTAGTCTACAGCTAGTACTACATTATAATACACTACCATGCAGAGTTTTAACTGGCCAATCAGATTACTGTAGCTAACATTTGAAAATAATTCAAAAGCCTTCAGGGACATATTAAGTAACCTCCTGGTAAATGTCCTTAGTGAAACTGTCCACTTATCGTTGATCTTAATCCTTAATTACTTGTTAAATTTAAGTTATATTTTTGTCAACTGTGGTCTTATTATCAGCAGCTGGTAGTTGTTAATGTACATAATTATTTAGACAGGTACACTGTATTGTTGATACAGCTGAAATAATGTAATTTTGAATTATGTAGCATTTTATGTTCTTGTTAACATTTATTCAAAAGAAATGGATAATATTATTATTATTATTTATTATTATTATTATTATTATTGATTAGGTTTTCTCGTGAGGAGCCCTTCACTGCTATTAATGTTGACATCAGGTTACATCATAACCTGTTTGAGTCTCTTGATTCATATGTGAAAGGTGACCTACTGGAGGGAGCTAATGCTTACCGGTGTGAGATATGTAACAAAGAGGTCAGTATAGTTATTAATAATAGTTATATTGGTAGTTATTGATAGTTATGAATGGTTATTAATAGTTATTAATGGTTATTAATAGGTTGATACTGTTAAGAGGATGTGTATCAATAAGTTACCTCAAGTACTGGTCATTCAACTGAAGAGATTTGACTATGACTGGGAGAGGTATAGCAATAGTACATCTATATAATGTATACTGTATTGTCTTATTTATGTCATTATTTATTGATTTATTTTCCTTTCTTCCTAATAGAGAGATGGCTATTAAGTTCAATGATTATTTTGAGTTTCCAAAAGAGTTTGACCTATCACCGTACACTGCAGCAGGACTGGCTGAAATAGAAGGTACTGAATACACATTAACATACCTAATAATAATAATACACATATACACTTAATAATAATACACATATACACTTAATAATAATACACATATACATGTACATACAAGCAATGAAACCGCATCTATCTCTCTCCTGTTAATTATACATGTGTATGTACTCATGTTTATGCTGTACATATTAAAAAGTTATAACTCATCCAGTGACACTGAGGCCAGTTTATGTTTATTTACATTCATTTTAAAGAAAACAGCAAATCGTACACACAATCCAACCCTTCATTAAAACCCTAACATAAATACATGTATGTACATGTACATTTATATATCCTCATGTATCCTCTATACAACCTTACCCCTCTACAGGTGAGAGGATACCATTCACTACCACCAACACTGACACT